TATATAATAAGGAAATGGCCCAATGTAAAAATAGCCAAGTTATTCCAAGGTAGAATCAACCAAGTAACTAAGATGAAAGACAGTGGAAAACGCTAGTGGATGCTGAAGAGCTGCACTCTGCCTAAAAAAGGAAAAACCAAGAAATGAGGACATAGTGACAATAAAATAATCCCCAAAACTATCCAGCAGATGGTGCTGTTTGCCCAAAACAGTTTTGTTGCTGCTCAGAACAAAGAGGAAATAATGTTCAACATATATATGTGAAATAAATAAATGCTTAATTCTTGTACCCCCAAATTCCAGAGCAGTCTAGAAGTTCATAAAACAAGAACTATAAAACTAATGCTTTAATGTAAACTTTGAAATAACTTACATTTTCACCTTTGATTCCAGGGGCTGTAGATTGAGGTGATATTTTTCAATGTTATTCTCCATATCCATGGCCATCTGGTGACTAGAAACAGAAATAATGGCTCAATATAGCTGAATCTAGACAGCCTTTATAGCAATAAAGCTGCTAATTTATATTTATTTGAAAAAGCAGATATACATCCAATTTTGTTCATTTTAATTAATCCACAGAGGCTTAAAGGTTGCTATTGATGGATAATGGATAAATAACCATATCATAAAAAGAAAATATTGTTTTGCCTTTTACCTTTTCTGTCCTTTTGATTTTTACTCCTTAGCTCAATATTCATATTTAAGGCATGAAAGTCATTTCCTTTAAGCAAAGAAGAAAACAAAATATTGGGCCATTTCAGGGGGAGAAAAAAAACATAAGGGGAGTATTATAAATCCCATGGCATTGTCCAAGTTGTAGAGAGGATCTCATTCATTCTCACCCTAATGGTGCCACTGCCATTGAACCTCTCCTCCTTTCATTCTGTAAGCTTTTGCAGAGCTCCCACTATGAACAAAGCATGAATCTCCGACCTGGAAAACTCCTGGCAGGGGTCTATAGATATATGATAGCTGCTCCTAAGGGCTTATTAGGCAATCACTGGGTGCTACAATGATCAAGGAAGATTTCATGGACATGGTGGTAGTTGATGTGGGTTTTGAAGAATGGACAGGAATTAGGTAAGTTGAGATGTGAAAGGTAATACATATGAGAGAGATATTAAAACAAAGGATTAGAGGTAAAAAATTTCAGGCTATTTTCAGAAAGAGCAATTTGGTGAAAGTGGAGGATAAAAGTAGGAAATAAGTTTGGCTAAGCAGAAAACTAGTAGTCATTGGCCACAAATTATATATAAAACACTGTCATAGATATTTTACATGTATTATCTTACTCAATTCTCACAGTAGCCTCTACCAATTCAGTATTTTCCCCATTGTACAGCTGAGAAATCTGAAGCTCAAAGAGATTATGTTTGAGCAGGGAGGAGCAAGATGGTGTAGGAGTAGGAGACCTGGATTTCGTCTGGTCCCAGGAACTCAGCTGCATAGGGATCAAACCATTCTGAACACCTACGAACTCAACAGGAGATCGAAGAAAAGAATAGTAGCAACTCTCTGAACAGAAAAGCGACCACGTTCTGGAAGGTAGGATGTGCGGAGAAGTGACTGAGGCAATATTTGGGAAGACAGACGACGGGGGAGTGGGCCTCCGTTGGCCGCTTCTGGCAAGTGACAGAGTAGCGGAGCACAAAATCAGAGATTTTTAGAAGTCTTCTCCCCTGAGGGACGTCGCTCCAGTGGCTAAGTGGGGGGTGGAACCCTCGCGGGGACAGTGTGGTCTCAAGACCCTCGGGATCACAGAAAGACCGGGGTGCCTGAGTGCGGCAGAGCTCCCAGGTATCAGAGTGGGGAAGCTGGAGCCGAGGAGCGGGCTCTCAGCTCGGGGTTGCCATAAACTGTGATCCACGGCACAGTTGGGCCACTGCTCCAACAGCAGCGACCCAACAAGCGGCAGATCCGGGGAGACTCCCCTTCTTCCCCCAGGAGGAGCAGCGCGAGAGCACACCATGGGGATCTGCTGGGTTTGGAGACTCCACATGGGGTCGGGTGCCAGAGATAGAAATGCTCGGTCACAGGCCAGGTGAGCACGGAGTGCGGCCAGAGACCAGAGAGATGGGAGTGACTGACTGCTTTTCTCTGGGGGCGCACTGAGGAGCGGGGCCTCCAGTTCTTGGCTCCTCCGGGGCGGAGATTGGGAGGCCGCCATTTTCACTCTCGTCTTCCAAAGCTGGACGGAAGGCTTGCAGGGAACAAAAGCTCCGGAGAGCAAACCCAAGCGGATTACTTAGCCCCAGACCGGCAAGGGTGGGGCAATTCCACCTCCGGCAAAGAGTTTTGAGAACCATGGCAACAGGCCCCTAGGCCCCTCCCCCAGAAGATCAGCAAGAACAGCCAGCCAAGACCAAGTTGCCAATCAATGAGAACGGCAGAATGCCAGCGCTAGGGGAATACTGAACAGAGAATTCATGGATTTTTTCCCCATGATTCTTTCGTCTTTCAAAGTTAATTTTTTTAACTGTCTTTTTTTTTTTAATTTTTCTTTTTCCCTTTCTCAACCAACATCTTATCAATCCCTTTTTAAAAAAAAACCCATTTTTATTTTTCATTTTTAGAGTCATATTCTATCCCTTCATAGTAGTTACCCTTATTTTTGGTATATATATATATATATTTCTCTCAAATTTTGTGATACAGTTTCTTCTAACAGATCAAAATATACCCTAAATCTCTAGTGTATGGCTTTGTTCTAGTCTCCTGCCTGATCACATTCCCTCCCCCCCCTTTTTTTTTAATCCTCTTCTTTCTTTTTTCAACCAACTTCTTATCTTATCAATTCCTTTTATAAAATCTTTTATATTTTTCATCTTTACAGTCATATTCCATCCCTTCACTGTATTAACCCTTATTTTTGTACATATATGAGTTTTTCTTTCTTCAAAATTTTGGGAAGCACTTTCTTCTAAAAGACCAAAATACACCCCAAATCTAGTGTGTGGCACTCATCTATGCACCAGCCTGATCATATTTGATCATATTCTGTTTTCTTTGTTTTGTTTTTGTTTGTTTTTATCTTTTTCTTTTCTTTTTCTTTTTTCTTTCTTTCCCTTTCTTTTCCCCCGGTTTCAGGTCTTTTCTGATTTGTTTAGTGTATATTTCCTGGAGACGTTGTTACCCTGTTAGCATTTTGTTCTCTCATTCTTCTATTCTCCTCTGGACAAAATGACAAGACAGAAAAAATCACCTCAACAAAAGAACAAGAGGCAGTACTGACTGCCAGGGACCTTATCAATACAGACATTAGTAAGATGTTGGAACTAGAGTTCAGAATGATGATTTTAAAGATACTAGCTGGGTTTGAAAAAAGCATGGAAGATATTAGAGAAACCTTTTCTGGAGAAATAAAAGAACTAAATCTAACCAAGTTGAAATCAAAAAGGCTATTAATGAGGTGCCATCAAAAATGGAGGTGCTAACTCCTAGGATGAAGGAGGCAGAAGAAAGAACTAGTGATATAGAAGACCAAATGATGGAAAATAAAGAAGCTGAGAAAAAGAGAGATAAACAACTACTGGATCACGAGGGCAGAATTCGAGAGA